AAACACTTTGAAGCATAATATGTACAGGCTGAGTTAGTGAAATTTCGTTGTCCAACAATTATTGTGAAATTTAGGAACATCTTTGTATTATAACTATTTAACGTTTTAACGCCGTTGCAATAACGTTGCAATTAAGTTGTGGCAACGTGGTCATATTACGTTATGGGAAAGTTACTGGAATGTTGCTACAATGTTGATGTTTGACGTCATAAAGTAACATTAATACAACATTCTGGCAACAATTGAAACCTATTGAGCAGCGAAAACTGAAAACTGACAAAAAAGTCCAATACTTCACTTAAACTGCCAAAATGCCAACATTACCATAAGTCTAGGATAAGCAGGAGGGATTTTCCAGAGGATTGCCATTGTCACCATAATGGTTATCAGGTCTGCACCATTTTTATTTGGGACAAATCAAACTCACCAGTAAAAGTCGAACATACCAAAAGGAGTGACGATAAGATGCCAGGTCACATGAGTGCACACATCACGCCACATTAGACAAATTTTCGCACTTGGGAGGCAACTTATCCGTGATAACTCCCGAAAATTAATTTAAAGTCACAAATATAAAAATGGACTGTACTGTTTAGAAGTTTTGTTTAATTGTTAAGCTAACCTAAACAAGACTCTCAAATGATTAAATAGTAAAGATATTTAAGAAGAGACATCGGTATGATTAAAGAAAACAGTTCTACGAATATTTACCACAACTTTATGTTATGCTGATTTTTCTGGAATTTTGTTCAGATTAAAAATTAAGAATCGGTATTCTTCAAAGTCAGTCTGTGTCTTATTCTGCTCAAGTTCCTGCAAACAGAAAATTATTTTTAAATGCTTAAACAAAGTTACATATCATCTCAGCCCTGCTTATATATTGAAAGTCAAGTTAACTAGCGTAATGGAACTTTCTTCACTGTACTCGTGTTTCCCTTGAAATCGTCAAGCAAGTTACACTTTGAACACACTTGCCAATTCAATCAAGTGGATGGTGAAATCGAGTCGCGAAAAGTAGCTTATGCATGTTATCACTTAGCACGTAGACAGTACAATTGATTACATGTTATTCATGTGTGCTGTGTTTATTACTTATAAACCCCGTGTATATAACAATCACTGAAAAATGCCCGTATTGATTTGTATAGCACCAAAAGCATCATAATATTAAACATAAGAATATCAAAATTGTATGGCTCATTGATGTCAGCAATTACCAAAATTTAATTATCTTTTATTGTGCTATTCCTATTTTATGTATGTGTATATCAGCATGTATTCACTTGTATAAACATAAATTTCTTTAAATTTCGATTGTAATTTTATTTAATTTAGTGTAGTTTTTTTTTCTTCAAAAATATATATTTTTTTGTCAAGAACGATAAGTCTTATGTTCTTTATTGGCCGGATTGTCATATACGAAGCCGTCCGAAGCCGTGCCTTAGAAGTTTCCGTCAGACTTCATGATGAGAATTCGCTTTTCTTTACATATAAGAAAGGTAAAAAAAAAACCCTACATACTATTTTTAAAGATTGTTTAGGATAGCAGTGCAAATTAATGTTTAAAGACATTAGGATTTTTTTTGAAACAATTTGATTCAAGTTTCTTCGAAGCTTTAGAGACATTAGGAATTTTTTGAAACAAATTGATTCAATTTTCTTCGAAGCTTCGAAGCATTTTTGTGGGGTTTTTTTTCATTATGTCACATAAATTTTTAAATATAGTGTGGAATGGATTGTTTACATTTTATTAAGTGCTTTTGTAATCATAGAATTGACTATTGTAAATACGATTCATGATCAGTAATAATTTAGAAACAAAGAATGTCTTTAAGTTACAGAATATAATATTTAGGTATTTTAGGTCCAACATTAGAATGCTTTCAAGGTGATGTGGTATTAGTCTGAAATATTGAATTCTTATGCATTGTGGCTATCGTTAATTCGTAGTTTTTAAACTTTTTATATTAAATTTCAGAATTGTATGTAATTGATATTTTGGATAAATATAATAAATTGATATGTACTTTTTATGTCTAAACTTTAACACTTTACGTATACGTATTTCAAAGTCTTTTATGTAATTCTCTATATTCAGTGTTCTTTAATTTCAATAAAGTAATTTCGAAAAAACTTCATGTTCAGAATTCGCCTTTTCTTACAGTTGGAAACCGGTACCTCTCCGCACCCCATTGATGTAAAATAACACCGTCATTACCGGGAATGATACCTCCGTAAAAGAGGGCTCGAACTCTGTCATCTTTACATTGCTCTAATACTGAACGCTAATAAGTTGAGCGTGATGAAAAAGAACCTTACCATAAATCGTCATCCGTTAATAATGAGCTGAAAATACTCGAATTTTTCTTCATGATAATTTAATGTGGTATTTATGCTTATTCCAAAAAAAAATACAATGCTTTAGAAATAGGCTTTGATGTTGAAACTTCCTGATTTCAACTGTCTCCACTCCACGTTCATACTTTTATTCGGTCTACTGTGAGGTAATTGTGTATGCTGTACTATTATTTATTTTCACTATAAACAACTATATTATTTATTTTTTACCTTACAATTGTTTCTTACAATCCAATCTGCCGTTTTCAGGAATCTTAATTGATACTGTTTATGTTAAAACCTGCTCTATGAGAGGATGGAGATTGTCTGCCCTTTCTAATTAGTATCTATTAAAACTTCAGACGAAGATATGATTCGGTGGTATCAGAAAATTATGCATGTTCAGATACGGGGTAAATATATCAGTATATTTAGGATGTAAACACATCGATGTGGATTAACTATGGTAATTTATTTAAACGTTATATGATACAAATTAATTACGGTAGATTTAATATTTATATAACGCCATTTAGACATCATTATTAAATGCTATCTCAAATTCGTATTGTTATAAGCCAGGGGTCTTTTGCTTGACCGAGCCGTGCCAAAACCCTGGTTCGAATCCCGCTAGAAGTAATAAGTTTACTCCATATTTCCAAAGACTTCTATACAACTTCAGTTGTAAGTTGGAAAGCTCGACGTATCCATTCTATACTCTATACATAAATTTTACTATAATCAATGTAAGACCACATTATTTACAACTTGCCAAATAATCATCAACCGCACACCCGCATAGTTTCTCTACATTAACTTTCCGTTCCGCCAGTATTTCGCACTGTAGTAATTCTACAAATATCCATAATGGGGGAGACTATTTAAACTGTGCCACCTGTTGTTATTCGCCATATGATTTGTATTCTTTATATTACCTACCTCGTATGGCACGATCTACCTTTGGTGTGATTTAACACCCTTTTCGGTCCTGTATTTATTTCCTGCTACTGTATCCGTTCCATTTTTTCCTTCTTATACTTAAATTGTTGCCGTATCTCTTAGAATGGAGACGATGTCTCAACAAATACAGAAAATATTCAAAACTTTACGCAATGAAACTGATTCCTTACTTAGCCTAAAGCATCATTGCACTCTTGCTTCATATCCTCGAAACAAATACAGTCACTAAAGGTCTTCAAATTCTTGTGAAACCGCAAATTATTGGCAAGAGCTCAAACGGATTCAACAAAAGATGGAATAAAAATAACTCACGACGCTTCCATGAAACTCACAGCCCTACTTAGTAAAAACGTAAAACATCAATATCTAGTCAAATCAGCAACCATTGAAGAACTAAAACTTCAGCCCAATTCCGTCTCAACCACAGCTGGAGTTCCGAAACGAGGAAGGAAAAGGAATCATACTGTATACGCCGCCTTAGAACATTGAAACCAAGCGGTCTAAACCAAGAAGACTAGAAAATGAAAACTATGCACTAGTAGAATTTAATATTTTCTAAATCTTCTTAGCATCCTTCAATTTTTACTATAAGAATAACTGGTATAAAATCAAATATCCGGGATATAATTTTCGATACATAAATGTACAAAAAGTAAAAATAGATGTCGCTTTGGCTTGCAGACTTTTAGGGAATTATACACCGTTTTCAGTATCCGCAACTAGTCTATACAAGCTGGTTGTATTTATAGTTTTAACTCATGTGGAGACAGCCATGTAGAAGTTTACACACACAACGTTTTTGTGTTTATTTGTTTCGCACTGTTCGTCGTCAGTTTATTGCATCTATTTTAATCAATCCCTGACACACATGATCCCTAGGTGGATCCAGTGCGCTTGAAAGGGTTGTTATCCGCCATATGATTTGTATTCTTTATATATATATATATATATATATATATATATATATATATATATATATATATATATATATATATATATATGTTAATACAAACAATACTATCATACAGGTTACAGACATTAAATTCGTACTCTACCGAGTTTCGAACCCAGGTCCGCAAGTAGATGGCACCCATCGCCTTGCTTGCACGCACTAGCCCATATACCAATGATAGTATTGTTTGTTTTATTATTTCTGCCCACTATTATCAAGATTCTACTACAGAATCCAGGGACAGTACTGTCTGTTCTGTCTGGTATATATTTATAATTCTTTGTAATACAAAAATCCTATATGCCTTGATTTTTTTCATAGGAAACTGGAACAACCGTGTATATGTATGAGAGTATGACAGTTATTTACTAGGTCGTAATGCGAGTGTGTCTGCTACGCACAAGCTTATATAACAGCGACTCAGTGCTATCACTTTTGGCTGATGAGGGCTTAGTCGTGATGGTATATGGACTGGTGAGTGCAGGCAAGGCGATGGGTGCCATTTACTCGCGAACCTGGGTTCAAAACTCGGAAGAGTACGAATTTTATTTCTCTAACCTGTATGATAGTATTGTTTGTATTAAACTATTTTTTCTGCCCACTATTATCAAGATTCTATTACAGAATCCAGAGAAAGCACTGTATGTTCTGTCTGGTATATATATATATATATATATATATATATATATATATATATATATATATATATATATATATATATATATATATATATATACACATGAACCGCTCAGGTGGCCTAGTGGTTAGAGCGTCTGCTTCAAATGCCGAAGGTTGTAGGTTGGATCCCAGATCAAGTCATACCAGAGACTTACAAAAATGGTACTAACAGCTGCCTCGCTTGACGCTCAGCATTAAGAGGTTTGTGTTAGGACTGGTCGGCCTTGTTTCAGGATCATGTGACTGGGTGGGACATTATTCTATTTGTCTGCGGCATGATCCCCCATTGCTTAGACATTATATAAACTGTCACACTGCAGACATCGTAGCGATATGACTGAAAAATTGATAAAGCTACGTTAAAAATTATAAATACACCATAAGCACACCATATATATATATATATATATATATATATATATATATATATATATATATATATATATATATATATATATATATATATATATATATATATATATATATATATGATTCTTCAGTGACAGACATAAATGATAATTTGATAATTGTTTTCTAAAGCATTTTGTGAGATGCCTTAACAAGATAATTGTTACAATTTGTCTTAAAATTGCTCTCTGAAGTCCTTAAGTCAGTAGGTAACCACTCCCCCACTCCGTTGTCAGAATATTTGAAAACCATAAATGACTTTTAGCTTATCATATGAAATAGTAAAATTAAAATTATTTGCCTTCTCTTGCTGGTAACTTTTATGAATTAAGACGAGTTGAGGGTTTGGTGATGTCAAAAGGCGTGGGGCCCATAAGCCGGTGCCTACATTGCCTATTGGGTAATCCGGCACTGTAACAGTATCGTTTCTCATTAAAGGTGTTTATATCGTCGTCTTAAAGAAACTTCCAGGCAATAGATACATCTTCGGAATATAAATTAAACACGCTTGCATTATATCTGTTATATAATTTATAAGAAAAACTCGACCTATAAATCAAAATTTCTTAAACCATTGTTGCCAGTATTCTTTCATCGACCAATAATTAAATACGTAAGCTCATATTATCGTCCTAATGACATTACAATTACGTAATCAGGGACACTCAGTAATGCTTAAAGTTTGTTCACCATTTGTCTGTATAAAGAGTGGCTTAGAAAGTAATTCGAAGTCAATAAGTGACGAGTTACCTCTCTTTGGCTTTCCTCTACTAGTTTTCACATATTCTCGGTTTATCCAGACTGGATCGGCATACATATTTTAAAAAGTGCCATAGAATGTCAAAGCAATCCCAAGCAACCATGGCAACTCCAATGGGAACAAATAGTTTCCATCAAACATATTTTCGTTATTGGGAGGGGACCCAATAATTAAGTTTAAGGGGCGCTCAACAATTATTATGTACTTTTGAGAGAGTGACGTATGTAATGTGAAGTTGTTTGCGTTTAAAACATGCAGTGGAGAGAATGTTGTCAAACCTCAATGCTACTTCGATGTACTGTATATGATATTTCTTTGGATATTGTACTTTTGCAAATTGTAAATGATTTTAGCACACTTCAAACTAAAATGACTGCTCCTTTGTGCTCAAATATTAATCCTGAATTTAATTAAAGTACTATATCCTTAGCAGTTATTAAAATAGGGAAAATGAATTTTGCCAGTCTAGACAATACCAGTTATTGAAAGTGCAATGAATGAATTACCAAATACTTAAATGTAAAATGGTTGTCGGCTCTTTTTTTAAATATTTACTTCTGATGTTCAGGAAGTGAAAATGACCAAGTGGAGCAGGCACTTTTTTGGAAGGTGCACATCTGGAGTAACGTCAATCTGTATACTCTATAATCCATGTTACACCCATCAATCATACACCAAAATAAAGGGAATTAAAGGATTTTTTAACAATACCTAATATATACAAGGTCTTTTTTTAAGTAACCAGTATAACTGGTGAGGAAACCCGAGAAATTCTTTTTCTTTATAATTCTAACCCTATGCAAAATAGGAAACTATAGAGCACTATCTTAACAAGGGTAGATATAAAATTTCATCTTTGAAAATATGAGGGTAAACTACGTTAAAAACTGATTCACCTTGCCGTATGTTTGCATTAAGCGGATAGATCTTCTCCCATTACCTAAATATTGACATCAATTTATGGAGTCGAATGGTTATGACGTCATAAATTAACCCTTTCATGAGCGTCTGGATTTTTAACATCCTGATTAGCACAAAATTTATGCATTGAGTAATTTGGCATTCTTTTTGCCTTTACTACTTGTGCAATAATAACTTTCTTTACAGTGGGAAATTTGTTGTGAATACTGGATGGATATTGGGTAAACTTTATTTCAGCATGCATGGGATGCTATGATTGGTTGCTATGGCTGCCAAATCCAGCCTAGAATGTGTAAAAATCATGATAGAAGTACATATCCTTATTGTTCATTTATATTAAGCTTTCTATTATCTTTCCTAATCAGCCACGCTTTGAATTTTTTAATATATGATTGAGAAAAGTTAGATTTTATTAGATGTTCTAATGATTTGGTTTGGGTTATTCAAATTCTACCAGATAAAGTCACAAATAATGTTGTTTTTTTTACCGAAATGTTAAGAATGAAACTTAAAATCAATAAAAATTTTGGCTGAATATTCTGTGCTTACATTTATTTGAATGTACTTACGTGGTCTTAAACATTTCAAATATACAAAACGTATTTTGGTCTAACATTTTAGTTGTTGAATTTATACGAAATAAATTGGTTACTATGGTACAAAACAAAGCAACAGTGATATTATTACGACGTGATGATGTTATACAAAATCTCCCTAATAGCAATGCCTGTGATCAAGTTAAAATAACTTGAAAGAAAACTGATGATTGACCAAAAAAATCATAAAAATACATGATTGTCAAAGCAATTTGATTATTTTTATGCAGATTTATTGGCATATATTCGTTTATATTATGATTTTGGGTATTGCATTACTTTGATCAGTTACAAAGAATATACCACAATGACTACTGATGATAAACCAAGCTCTTGTATGCTAAGATAAGAATTTTCTCAAGGAAAACTGAGATGATCAGCTTTCAAGTCTGTTACAAGATTTTTATTTTCATGCAAACTTTAGATAACTGGGATTTACTGTATATGTTATGCATTTATTTTGCATCGTGGAAGCAAGCAGAAATTACAATGAAAGTCTTAAGTTTACATACAAATAAGCAAATTTAAATTTATTGAACAGTCCTCAAATCCAAGTGTTCTCCTCTTTTACATCTACCATTTATTCAAAAACAAACTCTACAAAATAAAATTGTCTCTGAATCCAACACACTTTTAAGTATGCCATTCTATTCCATATTTATGTGGTGTTGTATGCACTCTTTAACAAGATGCCGCCTATTAACAAAATTCGTTACGCGTAATTTATGTAAATGTATAAGTACTCAAGAAAATAAAAAGCCGTCCAAACCAAGTTTTAAAGCCATTCATCATTACTAGTGATCTAGTGATTACAAGAGCATAGCGGTATATCAATTGGCAGATTTAAAGCAATGTGATTTAAAAATCGAGATAAAAAGTGTACTTTCATTATAAATTGTAATACCTTGTCAAAACTACAGTTTTTTGGGCAATGACAAGTAAGTCATAATATATTCTAATTGGTGTATATAATGTCATAGGAAATAGGATGTATAATCCGTATTTTATTTTGAAGCAAATGCCTTTCTATTCATGTTATGGGAATCATAAGAAAATAAATGTGTACTCTTTTGATTTTGGATAAAAGTAAACCCTCCAAAAGAAACAGTTGTCAAAAGAGAGAAAGAGAACTTGACTTTCATATGTCGCGAAAATAAATATTTGCATTTCAATAGACGATATCAGTTTCAATATACCCACTGTGAGTGTGTCCTATTGTTTGAAATTCTCCAAGTCGGCAAGCTAGTAGAGTTTTTGGAGGAGTTTGGGTAAAAACGGCAGTCCTGTTAGGAAAGGTTTAAAGGAAGGACAGATTCTGAAGAAGGAATAAAGACTGAAACAAATTTAGAAGGAAAGAAAAACGAGTACACGTGAAACATATAGGAAAAGCTAATCGGGAATTTAAAGAAAAAATATTAAGTCATAGAAGTCTAATGTAGAAAACACCAGATGAGAACAAAGAGATAGAGAGGGAAAATGAAGCAGAATTGGAGAGGATAGAATTAGATAAAATGGCAAACTTAAAAGCAGAAAAAGAAAAGAAAATATGGGAAGCATACTTTGCTAGAATAAAAAAAAATCTTTCCATATTGGAAAGATGCCAACATTGCTTTTGCTTCCAAAATAGGCTGATGCGCTCGATTGACATTTAAATCTTTCTGTATGCTTGGGAAACATGGACGCTCATATCAGACCTACAAAGAAGGATTCAAACCTTCAAAATGAGATTCAACCACAAGATGTTTGGCATCTCATACATTGACCATGTAACCAACGAAGAAGACCACAGCAGGATCCAACAAGCCATCAGATCATATGAAGACCTCTTGACCACTGTATAAAAGTGCAAAATGAACTGGTATGGTCATGTCTAAAAATCATCTGGACTGGTAAAAACAATCTTGCAAGGTACAATGCGAATAACAGGCAGACAGAAAAAGAGTTGGAAGACAACATTAAGGAGTGGACAGGCATGAAATTTGGAGATTCCAAAAGGGCAGTCGAGAACGGGAAAGATGGAGAGAATTGGTTGTAAAGTCAACTGTGGTGCCCCAACGATCTCTTGGTTAAATGATTGATGATGATGATGATGATGATGATGATGATGATGATGATGATGATGATGATGATGATGATGATGATGATGATGATGAGACCAAAATTGCTTCATTGGCATTAGGGCACAAGAAGTTATAAAAGTGGCTACCACTGCCAGATAATGAAAACTAAAAGGTATAAATCTGCATTGATGAAGGTGAAGACAATATAAACGAATACTTATACAGGTTTGATAGACTCGCCTTAGTTTATAATTTTTATTAAAAATAAATTACAGTTGCAGCTCAGAATGCTAAGTAAAGATGAACTGTTGTTATACTTGTGCTTATTTGTCTCACCAAAAGCTGTGTTATTCTTCTAGAAATTAAACTAAGCACTTTTAATCTGATTTTTAGCTCACCAAATAAGG